ATTATAATTGTATAAGCTTTTACTTTTTTATTTTCTAATTTTTACCTTAAAGCTTCAATCTACACTTTGTTTGCAGTGATATTTTGTARGTACCATCAAAAAATATTGATTATCAGGAGATCCAACTTGAGAAAGGGCAACATGTAGGTAATAAATTGTCTATGAGAAAAGCACTCTTCTTACGAATAAGAGTCGATGTCAACCGTTTAGACAGTTGGGTCTAGAGTTTATTTTTTTAAGAGGGCAAACGATATCATTACAGGAAACAGTAACTTTTTAAAATATATTGGCTAATTCGTGCTGTGGTATCATCGGGATCTGCGGAATTAGATCTAGGTGTCTTGCCGCGGGACATTGTTGCTATAGTGATGCATTGTCTCGTAGTTAATTTATCAAAAGTCTTGTGCCTACTGGTGCTGGGGGGGGGGCTCAAATTTCTCAATAGCGTGATGGTGGTAGTGTGGTACACAGGCTCAATTTCAATAAAAAAAAACTAAGGGTGCTTAATGCTTGTGCTATGCAATTTTTGTTTTTTTTGAAAGAAGTTTTTGATACATAACTTATGTAACATAAGCACGATCATTATTTGAGGGTGCTAATTTTAAAGTTGGGAGGCTAATACCCCCTAAGCCCCCCCTATTTGGGCCTATGTAGCTATGTGGTGGTACCTACTTCAGTTCGTGGGATGGCAAGCTGGCAGGATCGTGGGAGCTTAAAAAATGGGTAGTGCACTGTATCTTCGATTTTGCACACGATGCCAATAGATTTGTAACATTTTAAATCACTGGGTACTTTTTCCATATGTAATCGTTTTGTTTAATTAATTTACCAAGTCGTAAGTCGGTGATACCATAGGTCTCAAACACAGCCAACTGGAATTTCTTTCAATGAGATTTTCGAAGCCGGGATAAATTGTGTCAACAAGGATTTCTAGACTGTAARCAATTTGATTTTTATTCAACAATACTTGGAGGCCATTTGCAATAGGATATTACGCTAATTTTCACTCTACGAATTTAAGTATTTTTGTGCTATGAAAAAAATCGAAATATTCACTGT